CCTAGACCCTAAACCCCAAAGCCTAAACCAAAACCCCCAGAGAAAGGACGGACTCTTGAGCCCCAGCGAGCTGGGCTTCGCGGATCCGCGCACAATGAAGCGGTGAGTAGTGTTTAGAGACTAGGGTCTAGTGTTTAGGGTTTAGGGACTAGGGTTTAGGGTTTAGGGTTTAGGGTTTAGGGAGTAGGGTTTAGGGTTTAGGGACTAGGGTTTAGGGAGTAGGGTTTAGGGTGTAGGGAGTAGGGTTTAGGACTAGGGTTTAGGGTTTAGGGAGTAGGGTTTAAGGATGTGGGTTTAGGGTTCGGGGTTGAGGACCGAGGGTTTCTCTTGGCAGAGGCACGGCATAGACGAGGTGCGTCAGGCTAGGATTAAACACCAGGAGCCTGAAGAAGTAGCCTTAGTGACAGTAAAATTGTAGAAGCCTAAATTGGCCTAAATAATTAGTCATACTATTCCTTAGGGTTCTTTGGCTATATATATATATATCCATAGTATAAAACACCCCTAAACCCTCTTCTATGCTATGTTTAGAGGTATCAAGTCCCCACATACAGACTCTGCCTGGTATCAAGTGCACCTTAACCCCACTTTGATTTTATCGGGGTGTCCTTTGTTGGATATGAGTATCCGTCTGTTTCGAGGCTCCCGTATCATTGAACCGTTGCGGAGTCTGCGCTTTGTACATAGCCGGCTGGTTGCTTGCTCTGCCGGATCAGATTGCTCTGTCATGACACAAGACCCTACTCTGTGATTAAGGCCCCTCTATTGCCTGTGCGACTGGAGCGGGCTGATCCGACGAGATCCAGTGCTGTATCGTCACGAGCTGTGGGTTGTAGCCCTCAACTGACCACGGCTCGCTTGGCTATTAAAACAGGGAGAGTTTAGGGTGTAGGGTTTAGGGTGTAGGGTTTAGGGTTTAGGATGTAGGGTTTAGGGTTTAGGGTGTAGGGGATAGGGTTTAGGGTGTTGGGTTTAGGGTTTAGGGTGTTGGGTTTAGGGTTTAGGGTGTAGGGTTTAGGGTGTAGGGTTTAGGGTTTAGGGGGGTTCGCCTTAAGACCGAGGTTCGCTTTACGCCCGAAAGCGGCCTGTTTTTTGCAGAGCGGGGATGGTGCCAGACTGGCCCTACACCCATAGTCCCAGTAGCCGTAATCATCGCGACCAAAACGATAGTTGCAACATTGGTATTCATAGCAATGCCCGCGCTCATATCGCGCAGCCGGGGTAACAAGTGTATGAAGTAGAAGCGTGCAGGGGCGATGATCCTACTATGTACGAGCAAAGAGACTAACAACAACATCAACGGGCGGGGCAGAGTTTTCAAAGGACCCAGGCAATGACAGTACTGCACGCCAGAACAGCAACGAGAGCAACAATAATGGGCTCACGTTGAGTAAGAGTGATGAAAAGTAGAACCGGCGTAAGACAAGCCTGAGATGCTTGCCCAACCAATCCCTAAACCCTAGACCCTAAACCCTAAACCCTAAACCCTAGACCCTAAACCCTAAACCCTAAACCCTAAGCCCTAAACCCTACACCCT